ACTGGATTGTCTGGTGCAGACTCGATTATTTACAGAACGCCGTCATATCACAGGAATATTGCTGAGAGGCGTGAAACTAAACTCACTCACCCATTCTAATTCGAATCTAGTCACGACAGGGCTCAAATATTACCGATATGACTTTAAATTTTAACTCACTCACTATGATTCGAATCCCGTGACTCAACCTACGAAAGTACTAGAATCTTTACGTTTTGTATTGTTACATATGTACTATTCTTGCAATTGGTTGTGACATCTGATTAGATGAGGATGGATACTGGCAGTACCACTGGTAGGTTTTGGGTCCCGGATTTGATGCTTTACCATGGTCGTGAACTGGTGTGATATTGCTAGCATTGAGGCGGTGGAGTAGCCTAATTGTTAAAGCATCCACTCGTCGCGCTGAAGACCGGGTTCGATTCCCCACATTGGTACAATGTGTTAAGCATATTTCTGGTGTCCCCGACCGTGGTATGACCGCCTCCGTGGTGTAGTGGTTACAGCGTCCGCCCGGAGAGCGGAAGGTCGCGGTTTCGATCCCCGACCGCGTCATTCCAAAAGACGTTAAAATATGGTACTTGTTGGTCCCTGCCTGGCGCTCGGCATTAATGGGTACAACAAGGACTGGTCGGCTCGGAGTCAGTATAATGTGTCTGAGTGGGGTATTCATGCTTCACTGCGGCATGGTATCTCAGTGGGCTAGCACTATAAAACCGGCTTCAGTCTGGGCTAGTACAAGCAGCCGCACATACACATACACACGCATGCACGTCGTCATATGAGCGAAATATTCTCAAGCACGACGTTAAACCCAATTTCACCTCACCTCACCCACCGTGATATTGCTAAAAGCGGCGTAAAATATACTCACTCACAATTGCTGACATTAGTTTCCATGGTATAACGGTGATGTTGCTGAATATTGACGCTATGGTCAAGCTATAATGTGATACTGTGACATCAGTCTCCGTGATGTTGCTATAATGTTGCTGACTACACTTTCTGTGGTATAATGTGATACTGTGGCACCAGTCTCCGTGGTGTTGCTATAATGTTGCTGACTACACTTTCTGTGGTATAATGTGATACTGTGACATCAGTCTCCGTGATGTTGCTATAATGTTGCTGACTACACTTTCTGTGGTATAATGTGATACTGTGGCACCAGTCTCCGTGATGTTGCTATAATGTTGCTGACTACACTTTCTGTGGTATAATGTGATACTGTGGCACCAGTGTCCGTGATGTTGCTATAATGTTGCTGACTACACTTTCTGTGGTATAATGTGATACTGTGGCACCAGTCTCCGTGATGTTGCTATAATGTTGCTGACTGACACTTTCTGTGGTATAATGTGATACTGTGGCACCAGTCTCCGTGATGTTGCTATAATGTTGCTGACTACACTTTCTGTGGTATAATGTGATACTGTGGCACCAGTCTCCGTGATGTTGCTATAATGTTGCTGACTACACTTTCTGTGGTATAATGTGATACTGTGGCACCAGTGTCCGTGATGTTGCTATAATGTTGCTGACTACACTTTCTGTGGTATAATGTGATACTGTGGCACCAGTCTCCGTGATGTTGCTATAATGTTGCTGACTACACTTTCTGTGGTATAATGTGATACTGTGGCACCAGTCTCCGTGATGTTGCTATAATGTTGCTGACTACACTTTCTGTGGTATAATGTGATACTGTGGCACCAGTCTCCGTGATGTTGCTATAATGTTGCTGACTACACTTTCTGTGGTATAATGTGATACTGTGACATCAGTCTCCGTGATGTTGCTATAATGTTGCTGGTTACGTTGTGGTATAATTCCATGTGGTCTCTTCACATGAGAGTGACTTTTCAACTTTTGGTATTCAACAACGAGGAGAGTTCTATGGATATAGAACGTCTTTAATATAATATGAGCGACATATATTGATATTGATATAGGATTAAGGGGTGATCTTGCTTCAAAATCGCTGAACACAGTCCATTCGTGATGATATGGAAGCAACATTGCTATAATTACAATCTTAATCCTCGCCATATTGCCACCTGCCACCGTACCACCACCACCCCACCCCACCCCCAGCCCCCACCCACCCCCTCCCCCACACATATCTACAGAATGAATGAATGGATGAATATATGAATGAATGAATGAATGAATGAAGATCAGTAATGGATGGGTGTAAGTCGCCTTATATACAAGCTCAGTAAAGTGCGTTTCATAGGTAAGCGTACGCTATCAGGTAAAATCAGGTAATTGTGTGAGAAGAGCGCCACCCCTCACACATAATCCCTTAAATAAACACATGTGTAACAACAAGAAACTTCAAAGCGCACTGCGATTTGCCTGTCTGCGAATACCTAAAACCAAGGAGACTTTATAACGGGGAGTGGTCACTCCTCCAAAAGCCCCTAAGCGTATGCCTCGGCTCGTCACGTGACCAGTGTAGCCAATATGGCGGAAGCCTAGTTTTTAAGATTGAGTCCGGTTTATTTTCAACAGCTGATTACATTTGCTGAGTGTTGTGAAAACTAAAAACCTACATGTAGAAGATAAGTTACCTATTCTGTCACTTTATGTTAAGTCAAATAATTGTTATTAGTGTCAGTATTAGTACAGTAGATATCACCTGAAAAAAGGCCGCCTCCGTGGTGTAGTGGTTAGAGCGTCCGCCCGGAGAGCGGAAGGTCGCGGGTTCGATCCCCGACCGCGTCATTCCAAAAGACGTTAAAATATGGTACTTGTTGGTCCCTGCCTGGCGCTCGGCATTATTGGGTACAACAAGGACTGGTCGGCTTGGAGTCAGTATAATGTGTCTGAGTGGGGTATTCATGCTTCACTTTGGCATGGTATCTCAGTGTGCTAGCACTATAAAACCAGCTTAAGTCTGGGCTAGTACAAGCAGCCGCACATACACATACACACGCATGTACGTCGTCATATGAGCGAAATATTCTCAAGCACGACGTTAAACCCAATTTCCACCTCACCTCACCTCACCTGAAAAAAGGGAAGAAGTAGCCCAGAAGCGTCGTGTTATACAATAAAGAAGAAGTTGTCATCCATATACTCGTCTTATTGTAGATTTGTAGTAAAGTTTCAAGTCGGCATGTTGTAGCTCACTGGCTTCAATTCTCGGTACACAGCGAAGAAAGACTAAATTCTATCGCTAAAAACTTCTTTCACATATTCGTTTATTTTTTATAAGGGAAATATACCTTTAGTTGAAAGGTGTTTGCAAGTAATAGTGATAGTTTTATAACTAAAATAAATTGTTAGGGTGTATTTGAGGTGTGTGAAAAATATGACATATCGCCGATCTGCCATTGAAATACTACAGGGCGTTGTTTGAGTGTTTCTAGTTATTGTTCTAAAACATCTTTCACATATACCTTTAATTTTTATGAGGGGAATATACCATCAGGTGAAAGGTGTTTGCAAGTTATAGTGATAGTTTTATATTTTTTTTAAATTGTTAGGGTGTATTTGAGGTGTGTGAAAAATATGACATATCGCCGATCTGTTCTGATCCGCCATTGATGCTTGTGATGCTTGAGTGTTATAGTTCTAAAACTTCTTTCTTTCTTGTTGATCTTAGTATTTGACAAAACTGTAAAGGTGTTTACAACGCTTTGTGATAGTTCTAAACTTTCTGTTTTTGAGGGGTGTGTGACAGTGTCAGTTAACATTCTGTCAATGTCCATGCCATTCCACACATGCAATAACATATCTGAATTAATTACTCATGTAAAAAATGTCTCAAAGTAGATTTTTTAAACAAAAGGACAGCTGATGTTAACACATGTGTTCTAGCGATAGTTTTGCTTCCTTTAATATGTTTGGGGAGGGCTGGCCGTGGTGTATCATTTATTCTTTCATTCATTCACATATGTATTTCTTTCTTTGTTCTTTTTTCTTTATTTCTTTCATTCATTCACATATAATTCTTGCTCTTCATTCATTCATTCATTCATTCATTGTAAAATTCCGACTGATACAATAAACTGGCTGAAGTACTGTTAAACGCAGCCAAAGTTGCGTTGGGAACGAACCAAGTCACTGTGTGCGTTGGAGCATGACGAGGCACACGCCAATTAGTACAAATGGTAAAGAAAGCAAGCGAGTGACCCAGCCCCTCCTTGCGAAGTCACCCACAGGCCCAGTGATAATGGGGACACGTTCAGTTAACATATACCTGTACTGTATGTAACACAGTTTCTTCCGTTATTACTTACCAACTATAAACTGTAAATTACTAAAAATATGATTGTTATCATATCCTGAAGATCAGCTGATCACAACACATTTAATCAAATTCATTTCCGTAATATTTTCAATCACGATTCTTATTGTAAATACATGTACATAAAGCAGATTTCCTTCCCGATTACCAGTGACGTACTGATCCAAGTTACTGCGTACGTAAAGTTCATGTTCCGTTCATCCACACACAGATACATAATTAAGAAGTATTTTGGGAACTAATTGCAACGTTGTTAATTAGCAGAAACACCGGGATTAAGCAATATGGTTTCATGCAAGGAATAAGCAAAGCGTGATAAGCAAGTTTGAGGATTTACTCCGGTAATTGCATATCTCTTTTGTCTGGGATTTCACGTTGTGTCGGTTGAGAATGGTTAGCATGTCGGTTGTCCGTACTATAGCAGATGCAGAAGAAGAGATGCAGATGAACAGCAGATGCATGTCGTTCAAAGGCTACATCCAGTCCTTAACCTCCCGGTGCAAGCAGAGGTTTGTTTTCATTCCTCAATTCCTTCCCCATTAACGTTCTCTGACGAGGTCAATCATGTGCGCGCATGTTCAGGTATTCCGACAAAACGCAGTGCACGTGTTTCTTATCGGGGCACTGTTATTGACGTGCTGTTGCAGGATAATTAATGCGCTCGGTATTATCACGTTAGCGGGCAGTGAGTGCGCTGGACTTCGAATAGGAACGTCGTTCTCTTTCATGTGGAACATCGCGCTCTGAGAAGAACGAATTGTTTTCTCGCCTTTCTTCACAAGATATTGGGAAAATGTCCCCGGATTGACAGAAAGCATATTTTTCAGCCATCACTACCGTTTGGTAATGGATTAATTCACATCGCATTGTGCGGGTTTGTCGTGATCAATTCAAAATCAGAGGTGGGATATCAATTTCTGTTATTTGCGGACATCGACTCTGGTAACGATGCTGTACTAGAGTGGCTAAATGATGCAGGGCAGCTCTGCAGTCGCTTGTAAGACGCCTTTCAGAACAGGGAGTTAGTTTTCGATGACAAAAATCGAAAATTTGTGTTTGGGATGTCGATTTCTTACAGATATGTATTGATAAGGACTTTTCCTTTTCCTATTTGGACCCTCATCAAGGACTTTGAGAATTGACATTCGTGAGAACCTCACATGTTTAATTACCTATTGTGGGCTCGGAGAAATCCCTCCCTCCAGTTTACTGGGCTGTATTGATCACGAGCTCTCACACTACGCCAGTTTCGACCCTTTAATTCTCGACATCCAACCCTCGTTTCTTGGGCCACGGTTTGCCATGCTTTGAGGGGATGTGAATAGCAGGACCTATATTCACTGTCAGATCTAGCGGGTGAATGCACAGACTTCAGTTGACAAACATAGTCCCACGCGGGCCTGACATCAACAAGCGTCTCCCTCCGCGATACAATATAGTGCGCTTGGGCTGACAGATAACTTCAGGTGTATGGACTGCTGGCGTTGGATGTCGCCTCACACGTAACAGGATACATTGCTTACGTGACTCTGTTTTGGAGTAATGTAGGTCACTCGTGGACGCTATTCACGGTAAGTCTCACTTTCATATCGTAAAAGTCATTCTACATTTTACCTGTCAGTTTCATGTTCACCTGACGAATACGCGTGGCCTCTGTATAAAGAGGTATTGATCTGCCCGAACTATTTTCTATTCTTTGAATGGAGGTAGTTAAGGAATAATCCTCAATTTGTTGTTATTGTCCATTCAAAATGGTTGTATCAACTCACATTCGTATTGCTCAACCCGGTCAAGTTGACTGAAACTGGCACAGGTCTAATTCGTGTCAATCACCTGTACAGGTAAAACAAAATGGCGACAAGGGGAGGCCGTCTACCTAGCTGCCTGTGGTGACGAGAGGACATCTTGCTATCTCAATGACCCGTGGTCAAGCATGTGTATATATATATCCCCCTCACAGTGAAGGCGAACGAGAATTTCCCGCTTCGGCCTCTATTTAACAGGGTTCCGCATGGAAAGTTTTCAATAAGCGGGCACTCAGCATATTTCCTTTGCTAACCCCGTGTCGCCAAGCCTCGGATTTTGAAATACATATTGTGTGTTAGGAAATCTGTTTATTGTTGTGAATTCAGAGGAGTGTATAAGCACCATCTTGTCACACAGGGAAAAGGAAGGAAGAATTTGAAGTTAAAACAACGAACGAATAATGACGAAAAAAACTGGCGCGGATGTGGATCCTAAGAGTCGAGCGTCACTTTTGCCTTCGGGAAAAAAGGTATGTACCGTGGGATCGAGTATGTTTACTATTCGTCATATCACTGCGACCTGTTTGTTATCGGGGGGAGCTCTGATCTGCTGACAGTCACTGCTCTTATCTAGTCAAAGCATTTGCCTACACAAATACCGTTACTGGCTTAACAGAATGTATGTATGGTAGCGTGATCGCTGAGGTTTGACAAACGGGATCGTTGTATGTGTGCTTGTATATTACATGCATATATAAATATATAGGTTATTTATCGGTCGACGCTTTAACCAGAGTGAGCTATGCATCACCTTTAACACCATCACATGCATGTGGAAATTGAACAGCGTCGAGAGGCAGTTCTGACAAGCTATGAGACAAGTCCTCTGTTAGGCACCCCTACACTGTTACATTATTGAGACAGTTATCCCCATCAGAAATATATATTCAACAGAGACATAGTGAAAGTCGGAACTATTATATGCTTGAGACAGTGCATTACTGCCGGAATTATTGTGATCGGATTACACCACCTGATGTATGCGCCGTTAACACGTTTATATGCTAGAAGCTCGATGCTGCTCGATCAGGGTGAAGCCATGTTGAGTACTGGCCCCGTACATGTGTCGTAAATGCTGATGTAACTGTAGTAACAGTGTCGTGGTGTTTCCGTTACTGTGCAACACGTGCCCGGATGTCCGTGTTGGTGACACGTTTACTGTTATCTTAAGAAACACATGTTTAATACCCAAGATTGGCTCACATATTGTATTGAAGAACTTCTTGACCCAAGATTGTTAACGTCACCGACTACACGTGTGGGGGTGGGCTGGGTGTACAGATGATGGGTGGCCCCATGGGGAAAGTCCTCTCCCACGGTGAAATATTAAGCGGGTTTCGATTTCAAATGTGGGCACAATCACAACACCGTTTCTCGATACGCTGGAAACAAATCATGATTTGGGGGGTTTTATGCCAAAATATAAACAGTTCAACGAACATGCTAGATGCCCAGAAAATATGCGATGTAATATGGACTGACTGAATAATATTCTGAGTCTAAAATATTAATAAAATGGCAAATGGTGAAAGTGACCGAATTGATATGGTGCTCGACAAACGACAGTGGAAGCGTTTTGTGTCTCTCGGTGTATAAATCTTGTATGAAATGTACATGGGGATGTATATTTCTTGTATGAAATGTACATGGGGATGTATATTTCTTGTATGAAATGTACATGGGGATGTATATTTCGTGTATGAAATGTACATGGGGATGTATATTTCGTGCATGAAATGTACATGGGGATGTATATTTCTTGTACAGGTATGTAGATACACCACCGATCTGCACTTGATTAGCATTTCGAGACATTCCAGACATTTTCACATGTCCAGCAGCCACACGGATGATTCTTCATCTCATTAGAGTGATTGATGAGTGTGTTAATGCATCCTGGAGTTGATTACATGTCGCCCGTCCATCAATACAGTTCATTCACACACAAGACGGACGAATGGACAGAATACTGAAGTTAATACATATATTTTACCTCCACGTTCCTGTCATACACGAGGTTTTACAAGTATCCCCTGTAACACCATGACATAACACTATGGCCTGTGACCATCTACCAACAAAACTGCAACGTTATGTAAAACACACTGACGGTGTTGTGACATAACAGTCATAAATTGCAGACATTACGCTAAACATTATTCACTGATGTCAACAGATTGTGCAACTTGACAGGAACTGTTGGCTGTGATGCAGCTGTTGTGCAGCTGCAGTTGTTTGAAGTAAAGTTATGATAACAAGTAAGGTCATTTGTAATTGCCTAGTGTGTAATGATGATATGCCGTATCGATCTATTGGGGATATAGAATCCGGTTTTGTTTAGGCAACAGCTGTGGTGTTTGAATCATATCTCTTTTGAATTTTCAATATCCTATATTCATTCTGTATAACTGCGTATGTTCCAATGTGTCATAACTAACGGGTTTCCTAAACGTGAATATTGCTTTATGTCGAAATAGGAAATAATACACAATACCACAGAGATCTTATATAAACAATCGATCCTCCGACGAACTAGTGGTTGATAGTGTGAACAGGTATCAACATCGGTATGACGAAAGTTAGACGCTTAGTCCCTAAATATGTATAATATTGATAGTAACAAATAACCCATTTAAATTGAAAAGGAGCCCCAGTGAGTTGGGAGTTTCTGGGGAAATCTAGACTTGCTTCATTTAGGGCTTTGGCATTGCTGGGAGGGCAAGGCAGTATGGAAAATAATGTGGTTCAAGGGCTGTGAGACAGACTGGACGAAAGTCAACAAGATTACGTATTGTAACTACCGATCTTATGTTGGCATGGAGGTTTTGTATTAGGTATACTTTTGTATGCCCGGATACTTTCAATGGCTTCTGAACCCATGCGTTCAACGTTTTATCTTTCTATATCTTATCGTAACGATTGCAGGTTAGGGAGTAGGTCTGTTTAAACATGCTATATATAGGTACATGGCGTACAGTAGTTAGTCGTTATGCGTGTATGTGTGTTAACAGTATTACAGCCATATATGTTCTGTGAGAGTATTGTGCACCGCATTTTGCAAGGACACTTCTGGAGGTGCAAGAAGGGCTTTATACATTGTACCCATTTGGGAATCGAACCCAGGTCGTCGGTAGGATGAGTGAATGCTTCAACCATTTGGCTATCCCTGCGACACGGATCTCCTCAGAGCATGGTGACTGTGCCTGGTTAATTCTGTGCATAATCTGTGATATTTATGAACATTTTAATGTCCTCTGCTGACATTTACTGAAAGTGAGATAGACGTTTGCTGTGTAGCTGAATATTGCATATGTGATGCACGTTCTTAACTCACTCATATCCGCGGTTTGTGAACCCCCTTTTGGGTACATTGTGTGAGGCCATTTCTGGTGTCCCCTGCTAGAATAATGAATGCTAAAGGAGACGTGACAACTATACTCACTCACTCCATACTCAATCACTCACCTCACACCCACTCACCCATCCCATACTCACTCACTAACCCCATACTCACTCACTAACCCCATACTCACTCACTCACTCCATACTCAATCACTCACCTCACACCCACTCACCCACCTCACACCCACTCACCCATCCCATACTCACTCACTAACCCCCGACTCACTCATTAACCCCATACTCACTCACTCAGTCACTCCATACTCAATCACTCACCTCACACCCACTCACCCATCCCATACTCACTAACTAACCCCATACTCGTCACTTGCTCTGTGTGAAAATGTTCCATTCATTATTGGAGAATGAGGCAGCCGCCCTAAAGTAAATTCTAAAGGTTTTTAAACACTATCTTTATTGGTTTACCCTTCCTGGTAAGACAGGCATTAAGTAAAAGACAACGGAATCACAAACCATCAAAGAAGTAAGACCTATCAAAGACTCCGTTTTGTCCAAACACTTTGGAACACTTTCGCAGCACGAACTCGTAAATATAAGCTTATTGTGAAACAGTACTGCATTTACGTATTTGACTGACATCCTCTTGCATTTATCCCGCCTAACCATATGCACCGGGGGATTAAGGTCAGGATTTAATGCCTGCTGTAGCTGTATGTTCCGAGGTCGGAATGAAGTTGAAGTTCAAACTTCAAACAAATTAGCTTCCATATATGTTATCGTGCACGTATGACTCGTATTCTACCCATGGTGCAACAGTAACATTGTATCTAAAGGAAATTGTTGACCAAGTTAGAAGTAAATGAATCGTGGGTTCGATAAAGCCTTTCCCTGCGGGGGTCGGGCAAAGTCGCCCTTGTCCTGATTGGCGCGATAGTAAGACGCTTAAAGCCTGTCTGAGTTGAGCTTATCCATACGAATGCTTCATTTCCAGTCGCGATGTCCTACCCACAGGGGAAGGGTTGCTTCTAATTTAGTATCCACCATTGGAGTGCAAACACGTATTAGTTTTTCATTCTCATATCTGAATCTGAAATAGTTGATATTTGACAAATAAATGTTCTTCAACGGCCTTGACGTAATTAGATATTGCCCACAAACGTTAAGCTGAATCCGCCCGATAGTAGCATCATCCCTTCCGATCATCTTCAGATGATAAATCCTTCTTAAGTTCCTCCTTAAAACATCATATTGAGTTGAAATTTCCAGATAGTATTGAATATGACGTATTCATGCGCACGGTTGCAGTCAATTCACGATTACATGAATAAATTTAAAAGTCAAATCAGAATGGTGATTACCAGTATCTCAGTGTTTGAGGATAACAGGGTAGAGCACCAAGAACTGCAACAGAGCTGAGGTCGGTAAGCAGCACATATGACAGTGGAGAATAAATCTTTTGGTGTATATGGCGGTTCCTCCGGGAGGGCCTATCTGTAGGGAATCAGGACCAGACCCAACCATTATCCTATACTCCATCATGATTTATTTCTCACTGACGATAATTATCCTGCCTCTGCATCTTTTGTGACGATTCATCTTTTGCGTCTTGCCATCGACCCGCGCTTTGATTAGTGAGAGTCTTTGGTAACATGCAAATGGTGGCTATACACCACTCTGTTTAGCTAATTGATACGACATGTGATCTGCTCCCAACCCTAGCCTCAGGCTCAGCTGGGATCCTGTCTACAAATACAGTAAGCCGTGTTAGCGCACAAATATCTGGTCGCCGATACAGAGAACCAGTTAGCCAACGCGGGCCAGATATGCTGCAATCTGGTTCGAGAAGTCATTTTCTATAATTCAGCTTCTTTTCCTAGGCTCCCTGGTGTTATGTGAGAGTGCGGTGTAAGGCATAATTAAAGCACATTTTGAAAATGTGCCTCGGGGGCTTCTCATGTTGGAAGACTGATGACGTCTTCAGAGTAGTAAAAAAACCTCCCTGAAATGAACACCTCTTAAGAAAGAGACTGTGAACCAAATTAGTGACATGGCCTAACTCCAGCATCCAAATTAGCATCAGCTTCTGCCCCTGGTTCCTCGTTGTGTT